CATGGAGTTGCGCGAGATAAAGAAGTTGGACGTTCTCGAGGAGTACTCGAAGGATTTCACGAGTTTTGTCAACCTAGTAAGTAGCCAACCGATTTCGATCGGCTCACGTAGTCGGCGACTCGCGCCAGTACTTGTTACGCCTTTTACGTAAGCCACTTGAGCGCTCGCGAGCGAGGCGAATCGATTGATCGCTGGGCGTGAAAGCTACGCGTCCATTTTTAAAAACTGTCAAACGCCGATCTTTCGCCGCCTTGGCACACGCCAAGGAAATTGTGCGAATCGAAGCGTGACGTGGAATAGTTCAATCACTGATTGATCGTGCAGAATTTTATCAGAATGCGAATTCGATAGCAAATTTTTTTCTCTTTTCTTTTTGAGAGTCGTCATCGGCGTCTAGGCACTTCTGTCTTGTAGTATAGATTTATGTCCATCGAGTGTTCTCTTCGAATGATTTCGAGAAGTCAAAAGTTTGTGCATTCATACGAAACGTGTTGTAAATTTTGCAACCTCTTGCGATCGCGATCTATCGTTAAAAAAGATTTCAGAGAAAGCCGCTGAAAAAGTCTGAAGAGTCAGGTGAAAAGGAATTACATTTCTGATGTAAAAGGAGGTATCTCAGTCTAATTACTTTCCGTATCAGTGTATACTGTTCAAAACGAGCGTAATGTTTAACCTCTGCATCGCTCGAAAGAAGCGATGAGAATTGTTGGACGATGGCAGCGTAAGAAGCAAACGACCCGAGCGAATAAAGAACGGTTCGGTGGAAAGAATGAAATGGTAATTGGTCGGCTGTAACGTGATTTCCCGCGAACCGGCATAAAGAACTGTCGATTAACCCCGTTGCGGTGTTCCAGGAAAGCACATGCACGACTATTCCGAACAAGTTGTCGTCCACTGTACGTATTGTTCTCCGTGGAAATTGCATCGCCCATAACCACATCGCATGCATTCTTGAAAACCAACGACGAGATTTTTATTCCGGACAGCCTAGATATCGTTGGTTGAAAGAAGGCGACGATAAAGCATTTCCCCTCGCGTTCACACACGTGCGATACACTCGCGACTAAGCGGATTGGCTCTCTCAGCTGAGCAACGTTCCAAAGAGACTTCTCTTTTTTTTTCTCTGTGCAACAGTCCTCGCGATATCTCTCATCTGATATTTCTCACTTTGATTGATTAATAATTGGCGAAGCTCTTGGGCTAGAGTCTTTTATCTTTTTAATTAACGGTCGAAATAGAAAAAGCGCGCGGTATCGAAATAAAAGTGGGCATTAGCTTGCTCTAGATTACACACCGTTGCTGACAATTATTTCAAATGTCAATTGATCGGGTGATTCGTACGAATTTTCGGGAAATTTGGGGAATGTTGTGTTAAAGACACGAATCCTCGGGAAATACAAAAACAGCTCCCCTGGATATTAGTGACTCCAATGATTCCAACAATTCTCCATTCTATGTACCTGAGAATTCGAAGATCTGAATCCTGAGGAATCAAAACTATCTTTCCTGATCTATCCTATTTCCACGAACTTGAGAATTTGAAGATCCGAATCCTCAAGAATTCGGCATTTCAAGAATCCCGTTCTACAGATCTCAAAACTCGAAGACCTTGACCCTCGAAAAGCATCGAGAATGTTTCTACGACACTCGAGTTTAACTCGGAAAATCCAAAAGTTCCAAGAGTCCTACGAAAATTGGAAGACCTCAATGATGAATCTTCTTAAAAAGACAACAGATCTAAAAGACACGAAGACCCTGAATCCTCAAGAACCGATAGACTCTTGTCTCCCGA